TATTGTCTGGAAAAATGTCTCTGAAACCTAAAATAAATAGTAAGAACATGAAAAACAAAACAGAACAGAACAGAACAGAACAGAACTAGTTCAGATTAATTTCAATAGAGTTTCAATGAGATAAATCACGACTTTCACTACTTAGTATCATCGTGGAACATCTTTTTTTTATTTTTTAAATAAAAAAAAAAAAACCTTTTCAAGCATCCTGTAGAAAGTTACCATATTCATTAGAAAAAGTATTTTCTTCATGAACAAAGAAACAAAGAAAGAAGTAGGGCATTAAAGAAAAGAATGTGATTGTCATTGATGTATGTCATCAATGTAAGTATCTTTATGTAAAGATCCCTTTTTGTCCCCAATGACAGTCAGCTTATGTGAATTCTAATACACCTTTTAGCATCAGCCATATCACTAGGTCTGTTAAAAGGCATCAAATGAATTTAGGTACCTAAATTCCATATGCTGTAAGGGCATAGACATCTTCACAGGAAATGGTTGATTTCTAGAATTTGTGATCAACTTAAAAATCAACACCTACGAGCAGAAGAAAGCTACAATGGGAACTGACTTATATGTGGTAGTGTTAGTGTCAATGAGGAGCAACATCAGTATGCCACCCTGGGCAATGTTTTCTGTAAAGGCTGATGAAAAATACGCAGGTATCTGGCAAGAATCTCTGTAGACTTCTCAGCAACTGTGTTGTTTTCTCAGGTACTGGATATCCAGCGTACCAAGTGCACCACAGTATAACATTCAAAACTAAAGATCTGCAAAATAAAAAAAATGCACAGAATACATCATGAATAAACAAAATTGCCTTTTAGTATTTTAGTTCTAATTCTTGTGCATGTACCTTTGTTTTCAAGAATCAAGCAGCAAATTATTTCTAGCTTTGCAAGTTGATCTCCAGATGTTGTTTTTGCTTATCCTACACATGGAAAGAAAATGAAGGGAACTTATCGTTCTGGGAATTGATATAGAATATCAGCTCATGCACAATACAACTTTATATTTTATTTAGCAAATTGTTGTCTCTAGATGGTTGTGATTATATTCTAATGAAGGGAGTTATTGCACTATGTCATGCTACAGTATTATCACCAATCTTGATCTGCTGATGTGGTGTCAACTAGCTCACAGGTTGAATTAAATTCTAACACTGGATTAGAGTGAGAAAGTCAGCTTTGAGCTGACAGTGTAATATGAGAACTAAGACCTGACTTTTAACGAGAGCATTACATACCATCCGGTAGGGGACATTAACCAATGCATCATGCCCTTTCACTGAGTTGTCTCATCATAGACTAGAGGTTTAATAAGAATAAACTTTATTTGCAGAGACTGTGATCTTCCATCTAACATGTACAAATAATGTTTAAAAATAGTTGAAGTGTTATCTGTTGATCCCAAACCCATCATTTAAGTCCATATAATGCATGTAATGGTTTCAAATCACATTATTTGTTTTTTCTTTTCAGTTCTTTGCACTGTAGCTCAATACGCCTTTGACATTATACTTCTGAATTACTTCGATAGTAGACCTGAACCTTCTGTCTGATGAACATCTGTCTAATAGATGGAAGATGTATAAAAATGAGTTTGTAACATAAGACACACCCAGGACATATTCTATCATATAAAAGCATTTCCATTTAAACTTACGAAAAATTATTTCCAGTGTTAACACTGCTCATGACAACCAATTTTGGCAGCAAAAGAAGTTTACAGGATATATAAGTTCAAACACTGTGCAGCTCTGTCTTATATAGATTCTCCTCTCCAACACTAGTACTTGAGTGCCTTCCAGAAGCACATTAAGCAACGTGATTAATGTCTGTCTCATTTTTGTTCTTTTACTTTGAGCTGAAATATTAGATTATTTTTCAAAAGGTAGCTGCAAGTTGATGAAATATCATCTTTGCAATGAACATAGAATCTTTAAATTACTATGAACACCATAGAAAAAAATCAGCCAGTGCAGAAGCAAGTGCAGTTTCTCTTCATGTAGCTGGACAAGTGCCCAGTTATGTCAGGACAGAGTAACTGTACAAGAGCAACACAGAGCAGTCTACTTTCCTGATGCATGGAAGATTTCCTGGCTGAGAAAGAAAGTGACCCTTTACAACAGTATTCATTTTGCTGGACAGGAATAGATTAAGATGTTTTCTAATCAATACAACAGGACTTCTCTCTGAAACTGAATGAAGTGTCCAATTTTGCTGCTAGTGGTGCATTATTTTCCTAATTCTGTACAGAGGTACTGATGAAGATAACACTTAAACTCTTCTGTAGAGAAGCATGTGGAAGACGAAAGGTCTAACTTTTTAGTAGAATAGAGACCTATGAGAAGACTTAAAATTAAATAAATATACTGCTATTCAGGGAGTGCATCACCTTTCCCATAGAATGTATAAGTCTGGTGTCACATTTAGACTAGCATGCGATTTAAGACTGTACACTTAGTGATAATGTTGTAGAAGTATGGAATAAAAGTCCAATCCTCCTTAAAAGCTTTTGTTATTTTCTAAGAAACTGACTGCAAGATTGCCATATCATATGCCTGTGCAAAGAAAATAAAATGCAAACAATCTCTGACCAGAGAAGCTGTCAGCAACTGAAACTCTTATGCTTCACTGTGACAGACTTACACAATCTTTCCAGATGAATAGTGCAATTCTCAGCATAGCTATGGATTGGAGGAGCCAACATTTAAATCTCTTAGAGCAGCCCTGTGATATACACATTGTAATGGGAGAGAATTTGAGGGGTCTAGATTCACTGCTTTTGTAATTGTCTTTCACAATTGCCATTCAATTGCACTGGTCTAAAATCCTGGATTGAGTCTTAAATTCTCAGCCATCTTCTTGTCTTCCAGAATGTATGAGTAGACAGCTAGATGTATTCAGCAATACAGACAGCATTTATTATTTCTTAGAAGAAGAAATGCTGCCTGTGTAAAATAGTAGTCAGTGATTCAGACGTCAAGGATATCAATATGTCAGGGTGGGAGGTGAAAAACAATTTTGTTTTGTTTTTGTTTTTCTCTAAAACTGAATTGTCAGAATTAGTGGGCAATTTGGCAAAACAGCAGAGAATACCTCTGAAGTGTGTATTGTAGACCTCAAGTTACTCTATTTGGCAACAGAGAAGAACAAAGTTTGGGGTTTTTGGGGGGATTTTGTTTGTTTGTTTCCCTACATAAACTTTTTGGTGAAAGCATATTCTTTTCCAGAAAGAATTTATGCCATCTAAGAAGCTATGATTTTGATGACAGCTTAGACATTGATACACTTCTTAGAATGTATTTTCCCTTTAATGAGTGCTTTGATGTACTGAGTGTGTTTTCAGTGTTCCATGTATGCATTTTTCATGATAACTCTTTTGCAGTTATCTAGGAGATCAAAGACTGCAATTCTGCACTGTTTCTGCCAAAAGGGAGTTGTTCCTTTCTCACAGAGTCTGTGCAGCCACTGTGTTTGGAAGTCAGCTTTCAAGTGATCTCTGTTGTACATCTTCATATTTAGTGCATACTTTTTCTTTGGTGCTCTTAATTGTTATTGTGTCTTTAGCACTGAAATGATTCTGCATTTTCATGAGTCTTTGTAGCCACAACAGGGCTATTTATCAAAAGGGTATTCACATTATAACATTAGCCAAAACTATAAGAATCCAGCGTGATCCCTGCAGAGAGCGCACACAGATATGTCTATGGGCAACCACCACGTATTTAGAATCTGGCATCCTAGAGCTGGCTGCGTGATGACTCCTGCATATGTGTCAATCATTTCATAGCAGCAAATATACGTGTTTTGCCAAGGCTGTTGCCATCTCTTCCATGCTGTCTGCAATGCCCCATTTACAGACCACAGCAATCACTGACCCCTTTTCCAAAGGAGATTTAAGAAGGCTGACAAATGGACTCTGTAGGAAGATGGGATCTTCTATAAAACAAAAGCAGCAGTGTTTGCTTTTGTCAGATATGTTTAAAAAATGACTATAATCTCAGTGACTTCCTTGGGAAAACTTAAGCGACATACAGCAGATAAAGGATATTAGCAAAAGAGATGATTGCACATTTCCAATGTACAAGGAGAGATTTCAGGGATCTCTACTGTGATTGGTATCCCACGGGCTCATTTCCCAGTAATAATAAATTCCAGAAATCAAAACTTAGAAATAGATAATGGTACAGGCCTGAGTAGAGGAGATGCACAGAAGTAGTAAAGTATGAAATGCATTTAAAAACATAAAGTCTGCTACTCCAATACAACTAATACAAATTGAAATTAGTAGTCTGACACAGATGGTAGAAGGTTCTAGTAAAGTACTTCAATGGAGTAATAGATTATTGAAAATGCTAACATTTTCTTAGCATTTCCTAACCAAATAATACTTTTAATGGATATTCTGCTCATTTCCAGCATTCAAGAATATTTGCCAATTAATTTTCTGTTTTATTTCTATAGCGTTCCTCTATATTGTAACAACTTCATCTTAATAGAACCTATCATTGTCTAGTTATTTTAAAATTTTTACAATTTCAGTTCTGTCATCATATTAATGACTTGACATTTAGCATACCAGAATTAGTATACTGGCTGTGAAAGATTTTGCAAGAGTTTGGGATATCTGCATTAAATAGTAAGTGGAGAGGAAATGGAGGGAAATGGAGGTACGCTCATTGAAATTATTTAAGGGTATTTTTGGTGTTCAGTGTTACAGTGCTACATCTTTCTACCTTCTTGGGAAATCTGGGATATACTTTGTTTTTATTTGCCTCTACACACACACACACACACACACACACACAAAAAAAAAAAAAAAAAAAAAAAAAGAAAAAAAAGCTATTTCTTATCTAAATAGATTAATTTGAATAGCAAAGTGTAGTGACAACATATTAGGACAAGCCTTACAAATGTTTACATAGGAATGCAATCAAGAAACCCTTTATGCTTTACTAATATCTCCTTGTTAATGTCTCCTTGTTTACTTTGCAGAATTTTTCCGAGAACTTCTTGAGAACGCTGAAAGGTCCTTAAATGATATGTTCGTACGGACATACGGCACACTGTATATGCAGAACTCAGAGGTGTTCCAGGATCTCTTCACAGAACTGAAGCGTTATTACACGGGAGGCAATGTGAACTTGGAGGAAATGCTGAATGATTTCTGGGCTCGGCTGCTGGAGAGGATGTTCCAGCTCATAAACCCCCAGTATCATTTCACTGAGGACTACTTGGAGTGTGTAAGCAAGTATACAGACCAGCTGAAACCATTTGGAGATGTACCCAGGAAGCTGAAGGTTCAAGTGACTAGAGCATTCATTGCTGCACGGACCTTTGTTCAGGGGCTGACAGTAGGCAGAGAGGTTGCAAACAGAGTATCCAAGGTAATCTGAAATCAGAGTTTCTTAAGTTTGAATTTGTTTCAAATTAATAGACAATCAAAATATGATTATGCTTGTTTGTTTTTGTTTTAATATTGTGTTGATTTTTTGGGTTTATGCATGTGTGTGTGTGCTGGTAGACACATATTGAGTATGCAGGTAGAGATAACAGTTGTATTTCATTCCTTCTGGAGATATTATGGCAATACTGACTGGAAATCATTTCCCTGTGCTTGAGGCGCAAGGAAATATTGATATACATCAATTTTATATCACATCATTAGTAATTCAAAACCAGCAACATATATAAAAGATTATGGTTATGATCAGAATTAAATTGCTTCAAGTAAATTTATGCTGCTTCTTTCTAGGACAGCAGAGCCCTCATAGCATTCATTCATCATGCAACTGGGCGGAGGATTTCATTAGAAATGTTTAGTTATGTTCTTGATGAGACCACTACTGACATCTCTGGAACTTGAGCTTTCCCTAAAGACAATTTGACTCACATTTGTGTTAGTTTTAATTATTTATCGATGCAAATATTTACGACAATTTTAGTCCTAGAAGGCTACGTATAATTAAAGCTATGTAATAAAAAAGCAACGCACACACAAAAATAATCCATTGGGTACCAGAAATGTGCCTGAATTACCTTATCTTACATAGTGTTTCAAAATCAGGTATACTTATTTCTGAATTGCTGATCCAATTAGAAGTCTGTTCTGGGATCTGGCTATTTCATGGTTCTATATTTACGTAGTTCTGTAGCTTATTAATTCATAACAACAGCATAAGATTAAGTTAAGAGGGGGAAAAACAGTAGACGCACAATTAAATGCCTCCAAATAGGACAAAAGCAGCACCATTGCTGTAGGAATGGCCTACAGGGAATGGTTACACATCAAGCAGCAAAGGAACCCACACCAAGTATCATTGGCAGATGATTCTGGTCTGCAAGGAGACAAATTATCTCATGCTTATTAGAAAGTGAGTATCTGACCAGATGGTAAGCTCAGAAAACATTCCAATTTCCTACTTCAGTACATCCATTCCTTCCCCAAGTTCTCATCTCTCAATTATCACTGATTGATCTCTTTCATTAGACGGCTTCTTGGATGTTTGTTTTTGGTTGGTTGGCTGGTTGGTTGTTTTTTTGAGTGCCTGATTTCTGTAAGAAAAATCTTTTTTGCCATTTTGTGTCACAACTTTAAAAGAAAGAACCATCAAGTGCTTAAAAAACAGAATGCACAAATTAAAAACCAAGGGTGACCATAATCTTTCAGAAACATATTCATTTTAGAAACATTTTAGAAACATTTTTAGAATCTTTTCAGTCTGCTTTTCTAACAGCCCAATAACAAGTAAATGGCTCAGCTGGGTGAAGCTGGGAGAAAGAAACATTGATATCATCCTTATGAGGCCGAGTATTCAAAGGATGATGGTTTAGTGGGCATGGTGGTGATGGGTTGACAGTGGACTTGATGATCTTAGAGGTGTTTTCCAACCTTAGCGAATATATATTTCCATGATTTTGTGATATTCTGAATTTTGAAGTGTTCAAGTGACATCCGTTATGAAATACTGAAATAACAACTTCAAGACAATAACTGTATACAGGATTTTGATGTTTGCCTTTTGCAATTGCAAGCCTAAGCTATTCCTCTTCATCAAAAGAACTATTTCTCTTCATGTAAATCACAGCAAGATGGTGAAGTAGAGTGGCAGCTGATACAGCGTCTGATGTGCTCAACATGATGAAGAAACTCTGGCTTCTGAACTTTTCTTATCCTGTATGATGCGATAGTTTGCAATTGCAAATTCAGAAGTTACAGACCAGAGCGAGAAGCAAGAATATGATAGAATTACACGGTCATTTTGCACTAAGAAGCTGGCAAATGAAACAGATAAACCTGGCTACCTAGCTAAAATTGAACTTTCTTCCTTTCAAGTCTTTCTGGGCTACAGAGTCACCTTTCGTTTTATTTCTGGCACTGCCAATTGTTGCAGTCTTTTCTAAACAATGACAATTAACATGAATTCCCAACCCATCTAGCCTGGTTTGAGGCAGATATGGCTGCTTAGAGTCTGTGCACAGAACGCATAAATCTACAGCCCCAGTTTTTCTGTGAACAGCAGAGATGCCCTCGTTGGTCAAGCTTAAGTGAAAATGCCTAGTTCTGGTATCACTGCTGTCAGTACGAATTAGATCTTGCTGTATTAGCAGGATCAAAACTGTAGGAATTAAGCCACCTAAGTAATTAAATATATGTGTAATTTGTGAATCCCAAACATATTAAGGTGTTAATTGTCTGCTAAATGTCCCTTTCCTTATATATATCTATATAAACATTCAGAATGTTCAAGTGTCTCCTTTCTCTCATACCCCCCAAAAGGTTTACATATCTCTTGCTGGGTTCTGGGGACACAAAGCCTTCCAAGAATAGGGTTTATCACCAAATTGCTAAGTGATTCTAAGATCCTATAATGAGAATCATTAGCTCTGTATTCATAACTGGAGCCTTATCATAGTATCACTTGAAGATGAGACAGCTCAGTACTGTTCCTGATTCATGTGTGTCCATTCATGGGGAGGGACAGGGTGGAGTGTTATTTGTTTTTTGACATTAAAGCAATGATTTTAAATCTTTTGAAATGCTTGATAGTTTGTTCCAGATACATTACAAGTTCTTTGCTTTATGAACAGGTAAAGAGTGAAGCTCTAATAGACTACGTTCAGAACACCGTATTTGGTTTTGGGCCCCTACCATGCAAGAAAGGCATTGAGTTCTGTGGAGGCCACCAGTATGGTCAAGACTGGAAAAGCTGCAGTGGGATGACAGAATGTGGGACTGAGACTCTGAGACTTGTTCCACCTGGAGGAGAGGTGGCTTCGGGGTCACCTACCAGTTGTGCAGGAGATCCAGTGAAACACTTTATAGTAGAGGATGATGGGAAGTGATGGATATGAGCTGAAACAAGAAAGAGCTTCCAACAGGAAGGCAGAGAGGCTGTGCAGTCTCCATCCATGATGGTTTTGTCCAGATTGTATAAAGCTCTCTAATATGACAAGGTCCTGTAGAGTCTGATCTCTAATCTTACCCTGCATTGAACAGCAGGTTAGACTGTTAATAAAATTAACATTTTTACTTAAGTATAAAATATGCTTTGATTGAATCACAGAATTGTAGGGGTTGGAAGGGACCTCCAGAGATCATCGAGTCCAACCCCCCTGCCAAAGCAGGTTCCCTACACCAGGTCACACAGGTAGGCATCCAGGCAGGTCTTGAACATCTCCAGAGAAGGAGACTCCACCACCTCCCTGGGCAGCCTGTTCCAGTGCTCCGTCACCTCACTGTACAGAAGTTCTTGCGCACATTTGTGCGGAACTTCCTATGCTGCAGTTTCCAGCCATTTCCCCTTGTCCTGTCTCCACTCACCACTGAAAACAGTCCAGCCTCGCCATTCTGCCCCCCACACCTTAGATACTCATATGCCTGGATCAGGTGCCCTCTCAGTCTTCTTTTCTCAAGGCTGAACAGACCCAGTTCACTCAGCCTTTCCTCATAGGAGAGATGCTCCAGGCCCATCACCATCTTTGTGGCCCTTCGCTGGACTCTTTCCAAGAGATCCCTGTCTTTTTTGTACTGGGGAGCCCAGAACTGGACGCAGTACTCCAGATGAGGCCTTACCAGGGCAGAGTAGAGGGGGAGGATCACCTCCCTCGACCTGCTGGACACGCTCTTTTTAATGCGTCTCTTGGCCACAAGGGCACACTGCTGGCTCATGGCCAACCTGTTGTCCATCAGGACACCCAGGTCCTTCTCTGCGAGCTCCCCTCCAGCAGGTCATCCCCCAACCTGTACTGGTGCATGCAATTATTCCTCCCCAGATGCAAGACACTACACTTGCTTTTGTTAAACCTCATCCGTTTTTTTTCTGCCCAGCTCTCCAGCCTGTCCAGGTCTCTAGACAGTTGTCATTACCCTACTGCTGCTCAGACCTCTAATTTAATCCCAAACAGACAATTACATATTCACTGGATCTTTCTCTAAAATTAGCTGTCTAGTAACATGAAGTCAACACAGATTATGTCTGCATAGATCGGGGCCTTATAGTTTGCTAGTTTTGCTTTTCTCTAAGCTCTTTCTGAGTGTGTCCACTTTCCACACAATATATACTGGGATAAAGACAAGAAGAATTATTCTTAGTTTGACTTTACTTTTCACACTCACAAATTCATGCTACCAGCAATCAAAGTAGCTTATATACCAGGTATAAAGTGAAGCTTAGCGTAGGGACACCATTAGGAGCAGTTAGTGATTTTGTTAGTGACATCAACATTAAAAATTGGTGACCCAGCCACTAAGAACTTATTTCATTAATGCATTTAAATATGAATTATCATTTATTGCAAAATAAAAAAGAACATTACAATGCTTCTTTCCTCAGTACCTAGCACTGCCTATATTTCTGTCTTCTTTTAAATCAATTAAAAGCATTTTTCCCCTCGAGCTTATTAAATTATGTTGCTATCAGACTTCTTATTAGGACCCTGGTGATATATATGAGCAAAGTGAAGCAAATTCAGTAATACAATTATAAGGTTAAACCCAAGATTAGTAGTGAAGAGCAGTCGCTAGTAATTGCCTGTGATTACTTCTACTCACAAAATGCTAGGCCACTGCTTTTTAAATAAACTGAATCAATATTCTTACAAACTTTGCTTTTCATGCTTTAAAAATAAACATTCAACTCTTTGTGAGAGTTATAAATAAAGGTCAATATTGAATGGCACACTGATTCAGAATGTAATTATTGCAGGGAAGGAGAAAAATATTACATGCTGATAAGTCAGGTAATTAAAAGCCAAAACACACAGCACTTTAATGGTGGAAAATGTGATTTGTGGGGTGTGACAGATAAAGAGCTACGTGACCTGTTTATTTAACATCACTGGCTGTAAAGATGAGACTTGCTAAAGTCACAGAGGGAAAAGAGAT